TGTAGGTTTGAGTAACAGATGGCGATACTTTTCATACTGACACCCACCCTTACCCATACCCTTACCCTTATTTACTTGTGTTTGATTGTCATAATCTTGGATAAAACATAATGGTTGATGAAAATATTCTGGTTTATTAAAAGGAAAATAATTTGTTGAAATATTTGGTCCAACATGATTAGCAACAACATCTAACATAATCCAAATATCACGTTTATGTGCTTCATTAATAAAATCAATTAAATCATTTTCACTTCCAAAATATTTATTTAGTTGATAAAGATGATTCATCCAATATCCATGAAAACCAACACCATACATTGTTTCACTATCAATATTTGATGGAATTGGTGATATCCATATTGCATTAAAACCCATTTCTTCAATATAATCTAATTGATCAATAGCACCTTGATATGTTCCACCACAATAATTTCTTGATGCATTTTCTGACAACGGATTTTCTATACATCGATTATAAGTATAATTCGATGGAGAAAATCTATCCGTAAGAATTTGATAAATTGATCTTGAACGCCATTCAGATGCATTTTTACAACTTATTATTGTAATAAATAAACATAACAAAGAAATTTGTATCGTCAACATTTTGCTATTAGAAATTGTGTATTAATATGAAATATACACATGCATATATATATATACCGACTTGAAAACGTCTGTTTTTTATCATAAGAATAGACATAAGATTTATTTTCTATACACTGTATTATACTAAGAAAGGTTGTTTAGTATGTTTTACCTTCATGACAACAAAAATAATGATTCATTTTATATAAAAATATTTCTTTCTTTGTTATTCATCTGTAATACGTAATGATCTTGACAGCTGCATAATAAAATTAAAGTATGGCAAATGTCTAATAGTTAATGACATCTGTCATAAAATATATTTGTATTGGATAATGTTCAAATCAATGAACATATTCTTCGTCGTTGATTTATTTATTTCTTTGGAATAGAAAGAAAAGAAAAGAATATTTAAAAAGA